CTCTCTTTTTTAAGGAGAGTTCATTTGCCTTCAATATTCTCAAAAAGGCACCTACACTGCTGCTTTGGTCATGCAGCAATTTATTTAAACTGCACTGATTTAATTGAAAGCCGGTTGATGAATCAACTAAATAATCTTTAATCGGCTGACAGCCTGACTATATATAATTCCCAAGTCAACCATTTCCAATGTACATTGCTTTCTCTCTCCCAATATAAAATTGAAATTCTGCTGACACCAGCGTCATCCAAATGGGCTTCTGTATTCCAATAAGGGAATCAGTTTGGCGGAAAATTTATTGACAGATGAAGACTTCTTTTTCCCTTTCCTTTTTTTTTTATAAAAAAAGAAGAGGATAAAAAAGCTTTTATCTACACCGAAATAAAGTGATGTTCAAAAGGGAAATGACATAAGCCGCAGAAGCAATTAAATCAAAGTAGCAACAAGAAAAACAACACTGCAGTAATTTGAGGGGTCCTCCCAACCGATTGGTTCCCCCCCCCCAGTAGGTGTATTCTGCAACCTGTCTTTAGCACCACAACAGTGAAAGTGGCGGATCTATACTGGGTGGTCCCCAGGCCATCCTACTTTGTTAGCATTGTGAGGTTCCACCAACCTCACTGAATTATTGCTATCTGGAGGGGAACTCTTGCACTCAAAGTGCAACAAAAGTGGATCAAAAAAACCAAGCTGGCACATTTAGTGATAAGCACATAAGAAGAGCCTCCTGGGTCCAGCCAATGGCCCGTCTAGTCCAGCATCCTGACCTTACAGGGGCCAAGCAGATGACTTAGAGCAGCAGTTCTCAACTGTGGGTCCCCAGATGTTGTTGGACTACAACTCCCATCATCCATGAGCTCTGGCCTTGCTAGCTAGAGGTGATAGGCGCGAAGTGTTCTGCGTGCTTCGCACATGCACAGAAGTGTTCTGCATGGTTCGTGCATGCGCAGAAGCACTCTATTGCACTTCGCACATGCGCAGAAGCGCTGCTCTGGTTATGGACTTTTCGGTGTGCGAAGGGCACCCCGGAATGGATCATGTCCGCAACCAGAGGTGCCACTGTACTGGTTATGTCCAGGAAAGCAGAGCGGGGTGTATGTACTTGGACCACTGCCCCCATGGGTCCCTGCCCCACTCAGCCCCCTTTGCCTGCATGATGGCACCATAGGGAGGGGAGGAGGGTGGCAAGAATGGCAGGCAGCTGATTTGATTCATTTCCATGCTGCTTATCAGTCGAATGAACCACAAAGTGGCTTCCAAACAATAGCTAACAACAGTGTGATTGAACCCAATAAAACATCACAAATACAGCATAAATCATATTGAATAATTAATTGAATAATTAACAAATCACCAGAGAAGGAATTAGCATCTATAAAACACAAAGCAACAGAGCAACAAAACCGGGAACTCAAAAATCCAAGAAGGAATTTCACACAAGCCTCCTGACCACAGACCCAAAAATTCATGTGCTCATGCACCACATCAAATGCAATGCTCTTTCTATGGCAGCTTGCCATAGGCTGGTTCAGGTATGCATGCTCCCAACTGATATACTTGTAATGCTTCTATAACAGCATCCAATATGTATTCACCAAATCTATTTTTTCCTTCCTTCCTTCCTTCCTTCCTTCCTTCCTTCCTTCCTTCCTTCTCTCTCTCTCTCTGTCTCTCTCTCTCTCTCTCTCTCTCTCTCTCTCTCTCTCAAATAATGACTCACAAAGCAGTTTACACACACACACACACACACACACACACACACACCAGGAAGAAAACTGTCCGGTAGTTTATTTTTCACAACACCTGAATAGCTCAGCTGGTTAGAGCGTGGTGCTGATAATGCCACGGTTGCAGGTTTGATCCTCGTAAGGGACAGCTGCATATTCCTGCATTGCAGGGGGTTCGACTAGATGATCCTCAGGGTCCCTTCCAGCTCTACACTTCTGTGATTCATGTTTGAAATTTGTATGTTTGTTTGTTTTTTAAAGCACAGGCAGATTGACAGTGCAATCCTAGGCTTAAACTTCCCCACTGAGTTCAACTGGGCTTACTCCCAGGTAAGTGTGCATGTGATACAGAACACTTTTAGAAAAGGAAGAAGGCAAAACCAATATTATATCATCTTCAATATCATCTACTGAAGCACAGGTAGAGACCCTGTGTCCCTCTGCATGTTGCTGGACTCCAGCTCCCACCAGCCCCTGACAGCACAGCCAACAGGAGTTGTAGTCCAAGAATATCTGGAACGCCACAGGTTTCCCATCCATGTTCAAGCATTTTCTGGACTATACCTCATCAAGCTCTAGTTGGGGGGGGGATTGCATGTCTGAATGCTCCACAGACTGCAGAGGGTTCAGTGGTGTGAGATCAGTAGACCAGGGGGACTAGGCTAGCCAATGTTCACCTGGCACCTCTTTCTCAAAGCCTGGGGAACTTCTGCCTGGCTTAGAGAGAGAGGTGCGATGCTCGCATGCACACGTCACGCCCTACCCCAATCTCCCTCGTGAGCTGTTCCCCTATGAAAAATTTCACTGCACTGCACTGAGGGGGTTCGTCACCATGCAGCAAGCTAGCAAGGGAAGGAAAAGGTCATTTCGAGAGCAGTAGAAAAATGCAGGGACCCAGTTTCCCACTCAAACAGGCCCATCGGTTGGAAGCCACTGACTGATTAGTTGCTGAGTCATTAGCTATTAAAGGGAGTACATGGATGTATAAATTGTTCTTCAGAACTTGTGGATGAGCCATGCGTTCTTTTAATTTTGCAGGTACTTTTAATGCGTTTTTACATTTCCACGTCTTCCGATTACTTTGTTTTATCTGCTGCTGCTTGTCCTAAGCTGTTGGGAACAAGGCGAGTTGAAAAACCTGAATAAAAATGTTTCGTTTTTCTCTCACTCTCCCGCCCCCCCCCCCATTTTAGCACAGGGGAAGACAAAGAGGTTTGATAAAATGATGTGCAGCAGAGAGGAAATTGATAAGAGTGGTTTCTATCCCTTTCATAACGCTAGAATTCAAGGAGTGTGTGTCCGCCAATGAAACAGATTGGCAGGAGATGTAAATCAGAGAGAGAAGTGCTTCTTCACACAATGCAAAATTAATTTATGAAATCAGCTACTATAAAATGTGGCTGCCAACTCAGATAGCTTCAGAAGGGGAGTAGACAAATCGGTGGAGAATAATGCTACACGCGGCTCCTCATCAGGATGGAGATATACTGTCTCCAGGACAGGAAAAGCTACAAAGTGTTATGACAATGTTACATGCCCTGACTCGCATGACTCTAGCCAAAAGGAAATACAGTGGTACCTTGGTTTACAAACTTAATCCATTCCGGAAGTCCGTTCTTAAACCAAAGTGTTCTTAAACCAAGGCGTGCTTTCCCATAGCAGCGGGGGACTCAATTTACAAATGCAACACGCTCAACAGGAAGGGGAACATGTTCTGCTTCCAAGGCAAACTTCACAAACCAAAACACCTACTTCCGGGTTTGCAGAGTTCTTAATCCAAGTTGTTCATAAACTAAGCTGTTCTTAAACCAAGGTACCACTGTAAGGCTTTGCAAACAAACAGGGAAGAAGGTAAAGGTAAAGGACGCCTGGATGGTTAAGTCCAGTCAAAGGCGACTATGGGGTGTGGCGCTCATCTTGCTTTCAGGCCGAGGGAGCTGGCGTTTGTCCACAGACAGCTTTCTGGGTCATGTGGCCATCATGAATAAACCACCTCTGGTGCAACGGGACACTGTGACGGAAACCAGAGTGCACGGAAATGACGTTTACCTTCCCACCAGAGTGGTACCTATTTATCTACTTGCACTGGCATGCTTTTGAACTGCTAGGTTGGCAGAAGCTGAGACAGAGCAATGGGAGCTCAACCCGTTATGTGTATTCGAACTGCCGACCTTCTGGTTGGCAAGCCCAAGAGCCTCAGTAGTTTAGACCACAGCGCCACCCGCATCCCTATATAAACAAACATAGGGAAAGAGAAGAAAAGGAACTACAGCAAACAACTCAAACCAGCAAAGATTCTTTTTTTGAGGGGAGGGAGGGGATTTATTGCCCTTTAATGCAGTACAGTGGTACCTCGGGCTAAGTAGTTAATTAGTTCCAGAGGTCCGTACTTAACCTGAAACTGTTCTTAACCTGAAGCACCACTTTAGCTAATGGGGCCTCCTGCTGCCGCCGCGCCGCCAGAGCCTGATTTCTGTTCTTAACCTGAAGCACTATTTCTGGCTTAGTAGAGTGTGTAACCTGAAGCGTATGTAACCCGAGGTACCACTGTATTTTCAGCCTGAAAATCAGCAGACATTTGGCCCAGTCCTAGCCTATCAACTCCTCTTTTTTTGCACAGACCACTGTTCCATCTAGCTCAATATAGCTGACACTGACCGGCAGCAGCTCTCCAGGTCTCAGGCAGGAATTCTTCCCAGCCCTAATTGGAGAGACCAGTGACCAAACCTGGAAACTTTTGCAAACAAGGCAGATGTTCATCCCCTGAGCTGCGTCCCTGGAAAAGAGTGCACCTCCTCTCCCAGACTGTCTCTGCTCAAAATCCCGAAGATATTTAATAATTATCCTGGCCGTGATAGGAGGCATGTGGTTACAGCGCTATAATCACACCCTAGGGCTAAAAGTGTCTGAATCTTCAGAAGTGCCATTTCCTAATAAAGAACACACACCCTTGAACTTGTTTTACTGCTGCAATTAACATTCTTTAATGCACAGCAAAGGGCGAGGTGCCCAGTGGGGGGAGAGTTTTAATTGTTTCAGGTTCTGTTTTGCAAAAGGGGGAAAAAAAGGATAAAAGTAATGGGATTCGCTCTGATATAATATGGTATATTATTATGTTTCTTGCGCTGCAAAGTTTCCTTCCTCGTTTTCCAGGCCTTTTGCCTAATCGCAAACAAGGTCGCAGAACGTTCCGAATTGTAATCATAGAATGATAAGAGTTGGAAGGTACCCTGAGGGTCATCTAGTCCAACCCCCTGCAATGCAGGAATCTTTTGCCCACTGTGGGGTTCGAACCCACAACCATGAGATTAAGAGTCTCATGCTCTACCAATTGAGCTATGTTTGAGAAGGAGTCTCGCATTGCTAGAATAGCCATGTTCAAGCCCTACAAAGCACCTCTGGCTGATTTTGACAGGTGTCCAGGACCACCCACCTGTCAATTACCTGATGTCACAATGACAACAGGCAACTGACAGCTGCCAGAATTCAGGAAGCACCAATCCAGTGAACTCCCGCCTCCCCCATCCATAGTTGTGAGGCAAGGAAAATTGATGCATGTGGCCTGCTGAATGGACCCTCCTTTCGTCTTGCCGTGTGCTCTCAACCATCAGAAGCTCTATCTATATAAACACTTGCCATCTAGCAAGGAACACATCTGGAATGCTGTCATTCCCCACAGAGCAGAGATACGGCCACAGGGAACCATAATCTTACAGCAGACCCAGATATCAACTCTTCCACTGTGTCTACCCTGGCAGACCTGTCACAGGGCCTGATGATGTCACCCACAACACCAGGGGTTCAAGTCATTTGAGGGTCATTCCACATCAAATCAACGCAAAAAACAAGGGTATCGCCACCCACTGTCTCAGATTTTGGTGAAACTTTGTGTACACCCTTCCCTTATGGTTGAAAAAAACCCCTTAAATTTCCCCTCTCTATCTCAAACGGTTTAAATTTTATAGCACTTCAAAGTTTCGTGAAGCCTGTTTTTCTGTCCCTCTTGAGATCCTTGGCCTTGTGTGTATTTTATTCCTCCATAACCAATGATCAGATCTCTTTGAAATTTTACACAGAGATCAATACATGATGAGGATTTCAGGAAAAAATACACCAGCACTCAAAAGATTTTATAAATGCCTTAAAAAATGTATAAATGTAGCTTTTTTTGGTGGAAAAACTAGGTTTAGGAAACCTGAATTTTCAGCGTTAGGGCACGATGCAATCAAAAGTTTTTGATGGTGAAAATTATTGCAAAGACATGCTCTTTCTCAGCAAAGAATAAAATTTATGGGTCTCTTATGTCTTGTAACAAATTTTTATGTTTTTTGGACATCATGGGGGGGGGGGATGGCTACTGAGTACAACTTTCCTACAATCCATAGCTGTAAAAGAAAAAATTAATGAAACAAAGTTGTTCATCTTAAAATCTAAAATAATATTGATTACAGGGTTGTTGTTTTTCAAAAGTGCAGACTTGTTTTTCAGTTTGGGGGTATTTAAAACTATGAAAATTGGCTATATCATGAAATCAACTTTTTTAAAAAAATTGGTCAGAAACTTTAAATGCTGACATGCTTTTTATTTTTTGGGGTTGATTTCACGATATAGCCAATTTTCATAGTTTTAAATACCCCAAAGCTGAAAGGCAGGCCAGTCTCTACACAAAAAGGGTGGCGGTGGACACAAATCTGGATATCGGAAGGGGAAATACAGAAAAACCAGGAGGAGGAGGCATGTTGACCTTCTAGGGTACTCTGCAAGTGACTTTAAGGTAGGCAACCTCAAGTAAAAAGACGTCCAAAGGGAGACTGTAATGTGAAAGCGCTGAATGACAAATATAAGAAGTTCATTGGTAGCACTTCTCCTCTGAGTTTATTTTATTTTATAAAAACCCAACCATACCTTTACATAGTCATATTCATATTTGTCTAAACCAGGGTTTCCCAAACTTAGGTCTCCAGCTGTTTTTGGACTACAACTCCCATCATCCCTAGCTAGCAGGACCAGTGGTCAGGGAGGGTGGGAACTGTAGTCCAAAACCAGCTGGAGACCCAAGTTTGAGAAACCCTGGTCTAAACTGAATGTCGTTCAGCCCAGACATTGAGGTCCAGCGCCGAGGGCCTTCTGGCGGTTCCCTCACTGTGAGAAGTGAGGCTACAGGGAACCAGGCAGAGGGCCTTCTCGGTACTGGCGTCCTCCCATCAGATGTCAAGGCAATAAACAACTATTTTACTTCTAAAAGACAACTGAAGGTGACCCTGTTTAGGGAAATTTTTAATGTATGACGCTGTATTGTTTTTAATATTTGGTTGGAAGCTGCCCAGTGTGGCTGGAGAAACCCAGCCAGATGGGTGGGCTATAAATAAATTATTATTATTATTATTATTATTATTATTATTATTATTATTAACATCCTCTCTCCTTTCCCAAAGGATGACCTGCTTGAACATTCCGAGTCTTGCATTCAAAGTCCCACAGCAGGTAGAGAAACGGAAGCACTTGGGATATAGCTGACGAAAGTGCGGGCCATGATAACTGTGCGAGCCTTCAAGGTGCCCCAAGGCTCTTTGGCTTTTTTGCTGTGAGAGGTTAACAAAGCTGCCCTCCTGGAAAAGCGAACAACCCAACTTTGAGGCATGCACAGCGTCACCGGGAGGAGCAACCAAGGGTGTGTGGACTAGGAGAGGGATGATGCATGAGGAAGGGCAGAGGGTACCACTTTTGATGCTCTGTGTTAGCTTTATGCAGCCCTCGGAGAAGTTATGCTGTCTCCAGGAAGGCTTGCAGCGCTGTTTATCAGCAGGAGGTGGTGACGGCAGAGGCGGGTTAACAGGGACAAGGAAACAGTCACTTAAACGAAGCTATATGCAGCCTGGTGGTGGTATCTGGAGGCAGGAGGAAAAAGCAATCCTAGATTTTTGGACAGGAAAGCATGGGGGGGACTGTTTAATGTGTTGATGGCATTGAGGGCGCCTGCAAGGCATGCAGCCATCAGTGCAGGATGTGGCCTTGCAATGCTTTAGCACAGAACCAGAGGGAGGTGGGGTACAAAATAAGAGCAATACATGCAGGTCCTGTTTAGCAAACAAAATAGGTTCCCTGGAAATTGTTTGTTAAGTGAGTGTTTGCATAATGAGTCCACGATTCCCACTGATTCCTATGGGAATGTTTCTAATTCGTGATTTTCCCCGTCTCTCTCCCGCCTAAAATGGCTGCATTTAGCATCCAGGTCTGTGGTTCACTGCGGTATCGAGTTCAGTCCAGATTTTGTAACTGGTTGAATCTGTAACTGGTAGGTCTGCACGCTGACCAGAGATGGGGAACCTGTGGCCCTCCAGATATTGTTAGCCATCCATGGCTAAGGATTGGGGATGACAGGAACTAACAGAATCGGGAGAGCTTTGAGTTTCCCCATCCCTGGCACTTGCAAACAGCACATGGTGGCAATACTGATTTGCCACAAGTGTGCGCAGCTAATTAAGGGCTCTAAAATTGTCACTGCAAAGCACACTTTCAATTAAAATAGCCAATCGATACTTGAACGTCAGCCCGGATTGGCACAGATGGCAGCTACATCCCTTGGCAAGTCGGTTGTAGCCTGCTGAGAACTGCCCTGTCCATATCTTCTTGGTTTGGAGCTTCCAGAGCAACGATCTCATGAAAGGCCTGGAGTCTAATCGATCATTCTTCTATTCATTCTTCCTTTTTCATTCATCTGAATGACTTATATGCCGCTTCACAGTCCACGCCGACTGCAACCGTAAAACCGCAAGCAAAAAGCCGGCACAGAAGATAAAAACCGTGATTGAAACCCACCAAAAGGTTCAGTAAGACATCAAAACAGAAACACTGAAATTATGTCTGTGGGCTGTTGCAACACTCCAAAGGCAAGACATAACAAGAACTTAAAGAGTATTTGCAGTGCTAGGCCAGGTGCACAGCTCGAGACTTTTGGCGTCTGCTGCTGGTTTCAAAAACTGCACATTTCCAGGTCAAAAACAACCTGTCCCACTGTTGTCCCTACTCAGCAGAGGCAAGTTTTCCTGACCCTCAAGAATCACTGCAAGTTGTGGACTTGCTGTTCCTCTCTCCCACTCAATGCTCCCAGATTCTGGGGATGTCCATGTGCTGCCCCTCCTCCCATTTATATACAGAAGCCTTTCTATACCGCCATTCTGAAAATTGCAATTAATCACTATAGTGACTGGCTAGTCAATATAAACAATTGCAGAGCTGCAAAGGCACCCTCGCTTTTAATAATAATAATAATAATAATAATAATAATAATAATAATAAGAAGAAGAAGAAGAAGAAGAAGTAGTTCTACTAACCTATACTCAAATTACAGGGGAAGGGCAGGAGATTCCAGACTCCTACCAATTGATATGAATGCTTGTTTTCTTTTCTTTTTTTGGGGGGGGGGGATACAAAGAGCATTATTTTGTTAAAAATTGGTAGGGGTCGGGAGGTGGGGCTTGTGCAAAGCCTTCTACTTCCTTTCCCCTCCCATATTCTGAGCACTGCCCTGATCCTTAACACAATTTGTTGGAGAACAAATCCCTCAGGTGTGAAGGCGGCTTCTCTATGGATCTTTGTGCAACATGGATGGATGCTGGGGTGGGGGTGGAGTCAGAGTGTGTGATGCTGGGGCAAGTGCTAGGCAACATGCCCCATCTCCTGAACAGGGCTTAAATTCCCTTGATTTCCAAGGACTTTACTTCAGCTAATCTTTCAGCTTCAATTTTCAGCTTTCCACTTGCAGCGGGTTGGACTAGATGACCCCTGGGTTCCCTCCTGACTCTACAATTCTATGCGCTTTCACCTGCTATGATTCAGTGCGGTAATTAACGCCAGCAATTGCCAGTGAAACTACCTGACTTGGCACTTGCAGATACAGGCATCAACTTTTCCCTGCTTCCAGGGCTGCTGATCACTGAAAACATTCTCTCAAATCTCTTTCCATGCCGCATGTCCCTAGCTGAAAGAACAGCAGGAGATTTTTTAAAAATGGCATAATAGATGTGGAAAAGCTGGGCGGTGGGAGTGGGGAAGAGATTACCCACCCCCCATCACGCTTTGCATTATTTATACACGGAGATCTACTGGCACAACAGCCAGAAAATATTGTGGGCTTCTACGATGATAAATATATTCATTATGAGGAAGACATTCAGAAAATACACCGCGTGTCACCGAAGGAATTTAATCACCACCTGGAAGATGTATGCATGCGCCCAGATTTACGGGAAGAAAAAATCGGTTATGATGAGATGTTTCCTCCAATAAATTCAACTTATAAAACAATCCCGATGCATCTCCAATTACGAAAATACCTGTGTTGAC